GCTTTAATACCTAAGAGGGGCAAGATTTAAATTTAACAAAAAATTATAGACTTCTATCATTACTGAATAGTGACTATAAGTTATTTACAACAATTTTGAAAATAATTTTACAAGATTTCATTCATGGAGACCAATGTGCATTTTTTTCTTACAGTTATTACAGATGTAAATGGGCGTTATTTAATTTTGTGAACTAAAATAGCCAAGACTGCAATAGCTATGGTTAATGTTTATGGACCAAATTTAGATTCTCCTATTACGTTTCTTCAATGTTTTCAACACTTGAATGAATATATTTATCATAAACTGATACTAGGAGGAGATTTCAACGAAATATTGAATATTGAGCTCGATAGAAATACACCGGCATGGGAAAAAAAAACCCCAATCATTAGTGAGGAAACAATTAAGACTTATACGGAAGAGTTGAATTTAGTAGACCCCTAGCATTTGATGTATTCAACTAAAAGAGAATATACATTTTATTCAAATGTACATCACAATTTTTTTAGGCTTGATTAATTTTTAATATCATCAACCTTATATCAACAAATTCAAGAATGTGACATCGATGTTTGTTATGTATCTGATCATAGTGCAATTACTTTGAAATGTCTGTTTCAGAAACCGGTTACAGTATCAAGAAATTGGTATCTTCATGTTTCCCTATTGAATAAGAAATAATTTGTACAACCAATGAGGGTAGAGACTTTACTATATTTTGATTTGAATTCAGAAACATCAAGTGCCCACATTTTTGAATGGGAAGCATATAAAGCATACATTGGAGGTAGGATTATTGTTTATGCATTGCACAAAAATAAGATTAAAAATACCAAAAGCAGGTAAAGGTTATACTCAGTGTGCTAACTACCATCCAATCTCATTGATCAATGTTGATACAAAGATTCTAACAGCGGTGTTAGCAAATAGATTACAAGAAGTGATATCATTTGTTATTCAGAATGATCAAGCAGGGTTTATAAAAACTAGCCAAGCAGCAGACGACATTAGGTTAGTTGTAGATTTAATAGACTTAAATAAAAATAAAGATCAATTTGTCATTGTATCATTAGATGCTGAAAAAGCCTTTCACGAAATAACCAAGCAGGATATGTTTGTCATATTAAATAGATTTGGATTTCCTTTGGAATTCACAAAATCGATAAAAATATTTTATGACTCGCCCACATCTAAAGTAAAGGTTAATGGTACGTTTTTTCCTACTTTTCCACTGGTTAGAGGAACTAGACAAGAATGTCCACTTTCACCCTTGCTTTTTAACATCTATGTGGAACCCTTGGCTTGTGCTATTGGGCAACACAAGGAGATCTACAGAGTAGTACACAAGTCAGTTGAACATAAATTGGTCTTATTTGCAGATGACATTCTTTTGGTCATT